TCGCAAGATTTGATTGGAAAGACAAACAAACAGAGAAAGCAAGTTAAAGAAAACGTGGGAATAAGATTGTTTGTCGTTGACATACTTCTATGGATTTAAGTGTTAGACTATTATCGTTCTCATAGTCTACATTTATGAGTTAAAAAATTACTATTGAAAGTGTTGGGAAATATTTTTTATTTTTCAAACTGATAGTAATAATTGTCGGCATGTTCATTAAACACAATTTAAAAAAAATAACAAAAATTCTAATTATGTCTGAAAATAATTTATATTTAATCCTTTAGCACTTACTTCCCTTTGATAACTTAGTAAAACACAATTACTTCCCTTTATAAAACATTGCATTAGTGGAAAAGAATTTACTTTTTATTACTTTGTTTTGGTGTTGGTAAAAAAATAATTACATAATTAGCGGGGATTGATCAAGTGCAAATGTTGTAGGTATTTTACGAATAAGCTTGGAGTATTATAATTGTTCATTTGGTTTGGTTTGGCACCTACGTTCGTTTAAGTGAGTGCAAAAGACTATGAATAAGTTAAGGTACTGTAGTCGATTATTAAGCTGAAACAGGCGATTCTGCCCCGGGCTAGACTGTGAGCACTTTGCGTTTATGTTTGCGTTAGTGTTTTCTTTGTGTTTAGGTTGGGTTTGCGTTAGTGGTTGCGTTTTGATTTGGTTCGTTTTTGTTCTTTCTTTTTTCGTTTTCGTTTGTGTTTTTTCTTTGGGTTTGTGTTTGTATTTGTGTTTGTGGTTGGTTTTGCGTTTGGATTTGGTTTGTTTTCGTTTGCTTTTTCGTTTGTGGTTGTGGTTGGGTTTGTTGTTAGGTTTTTGTTTTCGTTTGTATTTGTAATTGTGTTAGCGTTATGTTTGCGTTTAGTTGTTTTGGTTGGTTGTGGTTTGGGTGGGCAATGCCGGGTTTATGATGATTACTAAACACACAGGTAACGGTCTTTAACAGAGAGGTTTTTACAGAAGCCAGAGCAGGGCCTGGCCGGGACGGCTAGTAGTTTATATATCCCGATTGCACAGGAAGTGCCATCTTCCTTAGTGTTATATAAGAATTTTTTTTTTTCATATTTTTAAAGATATTTATTTTTATTGTTGTCTTGCGATAATTAAAATAGGACGTAATTTTATAGGAGATGTTACATACCTCTCAATAAATATATAAATTTTATTTGTAATGTAGATTATTTTATTGCCCAACCTAGTTAATAACTACCTTATCTCATCACATAATACTTCTTCCATTTCTTTTTTTTTTTTTGTAAAAAAAAATACACCTTCCATTAAATAAAATGTTATGTCGATATCTCGAACAATCTATTTGGAGAAATAAATGGATTGAAAACCTGTATTTAATGTGGAGGCGGATTAGCTGACTATTATAAAACCCCAACTTTTTGTTACGAAAAAAAAATCGAGCATTTAGAGAAAAGAACAACTCGCGTACATTTTTAGGTCTGTTAATATTTTATAGTCTTAATGCTTTAACTATATGTAATAAATTGGAAGAATGAGTGAATGTTGTTTTTACTTAGTAGCCTGTCCATTTCCATTCTACTTTCACGTATAAAGAGTATTGAGGAAGTATAGGCTTGAAAAGCTGGTTGCAAATGGTTCCGAATAGTTGTTGCGAGTAAACTTATTTTTCAACCAAAATCGAATACTTTATAACAATCTATAATATACTAGATAAACGGCCTGTTGAGGGAGAGATACAACGGGCGCTAGGTTGATAGTGTTGTCTCTTTTCTCTGAAACAAAACCAAAATCACCACCTTAACTTCAAATTGAACCGGAAATGAAAAATCACATTGAAAACGGATTTTTATCCGTAAATCGGCATTTTAATCGGATTTAAGCTTTAAGTTTCACTATTCTGTCACTCTTTCTGTCATTTAGGAACACTATAAAGAAAACGCAAGCAAAATAAAAAAGTTCACAATCAAACGGAAAACAAAAAGTGACGTCACATGAAAGATACAGGGAATATTCTAAAGCCTGAAAAGTGCACAATAAAATTATGCCATTGATTCTAGAGTAAACATAGAATTAAAAATCCATTACCCCAAAAAAATACTCAATAATAATGACGTCATCGATACTTAAAAGAGGTCTGCATACAGAGTTTCTTTCAGGCATCTCTTTTGGGTAGGCAGGCAGACCACCTCCCCCCCCCCCCCCACCGTAGAACATCTCGTTTAAGGGGACGGTAGACGTGTTTAGGGGTGGGGAGTCTCCGCCCCCAACACCCCTTCCCCAACCCGTAAAGTCGCCTGAAATAACTCTAAATGCGACTTTTGTCATGTTTGAGCTTAGGTGCAATGTTTAGGGATAAGCTTAAATCGGTGAAAATGCCGATTATGGATAAAAATAAGTTTTCAATGACATTTTTCGTTTTCGATTAAATTTGAAACTGAGGTGGTGACTTGGGTTTTGGTTTTGGTTTAGAGTAAAAGACAACACTATCAACCTAGAGCCCGTTGTATTTCTACCTCAACGGGCAATTTATCACGTAGAGAAATAATTACAAAAAGTCTTCCGGTTATATTAAGGCTCGAATTATTCAAACTAATAATTAGGCCTACTAGTAATATAATACTAATTTAGCAAACGCTTTTATTTATAACTTGGTTTGAGTCAGGGTGCAGTGGTTATAAGGGATGTTAAATATAATATATAATGTTTAATTCTATATAACAGTGCACTTGATCAATCCCCGCTAATTATGAAGTCATTTTTCCCCACCAAGAAAACAAGTTATAATAAACCGGGAGTGATCTCCCCTAAACTTTCTCGAATATTCTTATTTAACTCGGAATATAGACATGATTTTTGTTTACTTAAACTTAAAAAATTGAATAGAATCTCGTAGAAAAAAAATTGCGCACCAAGCGAACGCCAAAACAAAATGTGCATAATAGTGCGCAATATTATTAGTACTTTATAAATTTACATGCGTTTTTTGAGAATTCGGAAATAGCGTAAATTAGTACTTCGGTCAACGGAAATTACTCAAAATTTAATAAAAAGGTAGAGAATTAAATATTTTACTTACATGTGGAATGTCATTGATCTATCTGAAATAGTACTCAAGTTATAGGCTTTTGAAAAATTCAAAGTAGAAAAAGTACCACCACTTCCGGTTATTGGAAATCGCTCAAAAGTTGAACAGGATCTACGATTTTGATAAAATACTTATATATAAAATTTCATCAACCTAGCTGTAGCGGTACTCAAGTTATCGTGTTTACACACAGACAGACAGACACACACACAGATAGACACACAGACATACGGACAAGATTGCAAAATTATGTTTTTCCGTATCAGTGAGGTGTAAAACGTCGAGATTTGTAAAAATCTCGATTTTTTGTTTTTGCACGATTACAAGACTTTCTCTATACGTCGTATATACGAGAAATTAAAAATATATAATAATACTTTACTATTTAAATAACTATAAAAAGGGTGGATCTTTTCCTAAATATTAGTAAAGGTATCCAATAGATAATATATTGACCCTCGCTTTTCTTTATAGTTATTTAAATAGTAGAGAATTATAATATAATTATAGAAAATTATTTATTCTCTAACTTTTCACGAAGGTAAAGAATCGAAAACAATGTAATGTGACATAAAATGCTACTTAATTAGATAATTGATAAACTCTTTGAAAATTAATCAAGCTTTTACTAACTTTTATTTAATTTGCTTCTTCTGTCTGTCGGCAACCTGTTTGTCAATCTTTCATCATAGATCGAAACGCTACAGCGGAATTTCGAGCACTTCAAACTGACAAATTAGTTTCAAAGTTGGCACGTGGGTCAAGTCTTGAAAACAATGCACTCTGATAACAAACTTGAATTAATTGGAATCATAATTAACATTTTATGAATTAATCGAAATTTTCTGAAATAAGTAGGCAGCCTTATGCTACTTTTTCTGCACTACTATACTCAAGTTATTATGTTCGTTAGGTGCGCAATAGTTTTTAGTCATGCAACATCTTTTTATTAAAAAAATTTAAGTAGTCCTGTTGGAATAAAAAGCATAAAAACAATTTAATAACACTTGTTTATTAAATAATGCACTAAAATGGAGAGAATAAAAGATTTCAATTAATAGAATAATGAGCTACTATTTTAATGGTTAAATAACTGGCGGACGACAGACAAAGCACGACAGACAGAGAGACATGAAGCGAGTTAAATAAAGCTTGTACAAAAAAACCTCTGGTATATTGACATTTTGTTTCTATGTCGTTCAAGCTGGATGAAAATAGCTTTAACGTTCACCGATTCGTGCCTTGCTTGTACTTTGTTTCTAATGCTGTCACAAATGGATTTTTATCCCCTTGATAATTCGTCTCCCCGCTATAAAAAAAGATGAATCGTATTAAATTTCTATTTAAAACTCGAATAATCATTAATAAAATAACATATTATTTTTTTCTATTTTATGAATCAGTTTTCTGTAATTTAAAATTCGCGTTTAAAAAAAATGTAAATAAAATATAAAACAACTTTTTTGGTAATATAACCTCTTAGGGGAAGGAGAAAAATATTGATATTGAAGATAGAATTTACACAAATATGATATCTGCAGGGTTTCTTACACTTTGAATTTTGATCTTAAGTGAAAAGTGTCATGTCTGGTAAAGCGATCAGAGTAAATGTCTTGAAATATTGGACACCTGGGAACTTTTTTATTTCCTTCTTCTTCTTGCCTTCATCTTTTTTTTTCAAATACACGAAGTGTGCATGGCTAAATAATACGCATAAATACACGTTTAGAAAATGATTGAAAGGTAGAGTTTATGGCTGTTATCCAGAAGGTCTCGATATCGCATTCTGTTTATGGTTTGTGAGTGTTAGAGTCCCTCAAATGCACTGAATTCTGATGAGTACCGGATTTTCTTTCGGGAAAATAAGGGAAATTAAATACCAATACAGTGTAAATTTGATATGAGGAATTTTATCTAGTTCCAGAAATGACAGCTAATGAATCAGAAGAGCTCTTCCCTCTGCCGTTTACCTCAGCTGAAGCTTTCGCCCTGTACGTCCAAGTTCGTGATGGCCAGACTACTGCCGTCCCGTACATCTGTGGAATCGGATTCGTGACAAACCTGGTATCGTTGATTGTATTCGTACAACCTAACCTCAGACGATCCTCTTGTGGCGTCTACCTGGCGTCTAAATCCGTGTCTGACCTAGTTTTTCTGCTGACTGTGTTGATCGTCTGGTTGACCCGAGTGGACATCAAGATATTTTTCACTTCCGGTGTGTGTCAGACCGTCATCTTCTGCTCCTACTTATCATCCTTCGTGTCTATCTGGCTGGCTGTCGTGCTGACTGTTGAAAACCTGCTCTGTGTCGTCAAACCCTGGTTCGTCAAAAGATCATGTAACGCCATTTCCGCTTTGGTCCTCACAGCATCCATACTTATATTTGGAATCGGGATTTACCAATTTTCTATATGGAACAACGGAATAGGGAACTTTTACGAAAACCCAGAAGTCCCAACTGAAAAAGTAGATACTATTTCAGTATTCCCTAATCTAGATCAGCCGCCGTCTCAAGATAGTACGAAACCAATCAACCTAACATTTGTAGTAGAGACTAAGAATGTTTTATCAACATCTGACAACACGACAAACGTTACTGAGCCACTATATGAAGCAGTATGCACTCACTTCGAGATTTATGCTGATTATATAAAAACTATGACTTACATTGATACAGTCATTACCATTATCATCCCAATTGTAATTCTTGCTGTAACTAACGCCGCCATCGCCATCATCGCCTGCCGCACCTCTAGAAGAACGAGAGCACGCACCAGAGCGTCCACTGGTACCCAGGGATCAACTGGTGCTCCATTGGTCAAGTCTCGTTCATCGGCTGCAGCCATGGAAACTAAAGCTTGTAAATTTTTGTTTATGGTTTCCATGACGATCCTCATTTTCCACACCCCAAGTCACGTGATACGATTGATGACGCTCTTCTCCTTTGGATGGCTGGAGGTCGTCCTTCAGAGACTCTTCGAGACTTTGCTCTACCTTCATTACGTCATTAACTTTTTTGTTTACATTATCTTTGGTGATAACTTCAGACTGGTGTTTCTTTCGCTTTTAAGGGGAAAAATATGTAATTAATTCAGAAATTATATATATATATATATATATATATATATATATATATATATATATATATGTATATATATATATATATATATATATATATATATATATATATATATATATATATATATATATATACATTTATTGTAGACTTTTCATCATGACGCACAATTATTTAATATTAATACATAATTTTCGCAATAAATATTGTTTAGTTGATATTTTGCAAAATTCAAAAATCATATTTTTAGATCGTTAAAATATATGTAAAGAGATTGTTCATTAATGTGTAAGTAAACAATACAAACTCACTAATTGTACCGGTAAAATAATTTGTTTCATCCATCTAGCTTGATTAAGTGTAGCGGTACTGATTTTCAGTGATATTTATATTGACATTGTTTGATTCATTTACACCAGTATTATTACACCATGTTTTTTTTATTGAGTAGATTGATTTCTTGTATGCAGTAGAGTCGATATGTATTTAGGTATACATAGGCTTATATAGTTGGAATTGGTATTCCTCCCCCCCCCTTCCCAATTTCGACAAATGGCATCAATTTGTACGCATATTATATTTTAATTTACCTTTTAATTTATATGGAAAATAAATCATTTCAGCGTAAATGATTGGATTTTGGTGTTTCTCCTTTCCCTGTCTTTGATCGACTTATCAGTTTTGTCAAGTAATTATGAAAAACTTTTTCTTATGTAAAATTTTGCAGTTGGTGCTACCCCTTCTCCGGGCGATAGTTTTAAAGTGCGCACAGTTAGTTTATTGTAAATATGTGTATCTATAGTCAGCTATTAATACAGGGGGATTAACTCTAATTAAAAATTAATTGAACTGACAAAAATCATATGCGCGTGCATGAATGAGTTAATGTTTTATTAAGTGCATATTCTTATATTATGTAGAAATACAAACATATTTTTTTTTTAATTCTAGTGCTACTTGTATAGTTGATGTGCCAGTTAAACGAAAAATTGAATTACAGCAATGGGCCTATATTATGACATCCCATAATACATTACATCCCCCATGAGTTGCCACAATAGAAAGCCTTTAATACATACCTATGTCAACATGTGGTATTGATATAACACTGTCTGCCTATAATCCTTATACTTTCACACGGGCTTAAAATATGTTTTAAACCTTCAGAGTGTTATTCTTAACATGGAATGAAGCCTAAAAATATGTTACAACTGCTTTTATTTATTAAACTTTAATTCTTGAAATGTCAGCTATATTATGTACAATCTAATGTTTCTGGAAAAATATTTAGCTAAATATTATTAATTGACGCTTAAATAAAAGTTCAAAATGTATATTTTCCAAATTATTTCGTAATGCAAACTTTTGATTTTTTTTAATATAAAGAACTAATTGCAACAGAGAGAAATTACTGTTTGGTTTTAAAGATTTGTTATTATATTTACATTTGTGTTTCGTAATAGTTTCGCTTGTTTTCGAAAAAATATATTTTGCGTGCATGTAACACATGTCTCAATTTCTCAGATGTACAGCTGCGTGGGGGTGGATGTTTGTAACAAACCTACTGCACTGGCCTCCGTGAAAAACCTATCAGTAAAGGACCATAGCTTGTGTGTTTATTAAGTAGCAAATTTAATTCTTAAGAGAAAATCTAATCTTCTTAGAAAATGTACACACAATACGTCGTGTTGTATCAATTTCTTTCCATAATAATTGATTTACAAAAAAAACAAAAAAAAAAAAAACAAAAAAAACAGAAAAAATATTTTTTCTTGTTTGTTTTGAATTAGAAAAAAAAACAATTATCTAATTAGCATGTCTGGTTTGATAAAATACAGTGTTGTAGGTAAAACATAGGTATTTTAAATGATTTCTTTAATTTGTTTTATACTCTGAATGTACTGTTTATAAATTATATTTTCGATCAATAACAGTTTAGAAGCTGCTCCTAAATATCATCCATGTTTACGTTGATTGTTTCCATTTGCGTTATTGTTTGCTTTTACTTTTGCGTTTCTGTTTGTGTTTGCATTTGTGTTTGTCTTTTTTTGCGTAAATGTAATGGTTTGTGTTAGCGTCTGTTTTATTTTTTTCTTAGCGTTTGTGTTTTAATATGCGTTTGTGTTTGCGTTTGTGTTTGTGTTTACGTTTGTGTTTGCCTTTATATTTGCCTTTTTATTTGGTTAGTGTTAGTTTTATGGTTATGTTCTCAAACGTCCATTTTTGCATATAGATATTTAATATAAAAGTAATATATTTCTCAACCCGGGAAATGCCGGGTATATACTGTTTAATAAAAACAAACGCCACGGTCCTTTACAGACAAGCTTTTCACAGAGGCCAGTGCAGGGCAGACAGAGGGAAATATTTAATTAAATAGCAATTGTAAATGGCATTAAAAAGTGTATGTTGGGGTTGAAGAGGGGACGGAAGCGGGCTTATAAACCCTTATAACAACCCCCCCCCCCCGCCTACACAATTGTCTATACAAAACGGGCGATGACATTTGTTAAAATAAAGGTTTAAGCTATCTAATTTAATCTCAAATATGATACAAACCAATTTAATTTCGGAAAATAGTAGTCGGGAGTAATCATGTGATCATATTTTCCATTTATATATTGTAAAGTGTGCTCTTTGAATCCTGCCGACGTAAACATGTAAGAAATGTGAATACAAAAATTAGAGAAAGAAATCCATTATATATCCCACCGAATCCGTCCAGAGTACTGTTACCCTGTTGAAAACAGTTTCGTCCTCCTTCGAATGGCCTACGGATAAATGAGCCGTCATCTTTGTATTGAGTTTCAAATTAATCAGAAAATACATTTTTTTGTTTTTTCCTTTATAAGGTCTATTTAAAACGCACATTCGCCTTGTTTACTGTGTGTGGGGAAATTCCGCATTTATCTCTAAAGATTGTTAAAAGAGAAAAAACATTGGAGTAAAGTAATGTATGCTAAAGGCAAAAAGATACCTGTTGAGCTTAGATTTTTTGTTGTGAGAAAATAATCAGCCACACAATATAATTTTATTAGGTTTAGATGGACTGAGAACCCCAAACCAGTTCGTCAATAGCCTGCAATTGTGTATTCATACCAGGCTTTTTAAAATTTCTTTATTATTATCAACTGTTTTTTAGTTTACCGAATGAAACTAAAAGAGTATACATTTAATTAATTCCTCTTTTTTGACGAACATGTGCAATGTTATTGGGCAAGTAGTAGTAACAGTAATGTCTTGGATATTGAAGTCGAATGTGGGAGAACCCACGTGACATCTTCCTTAGACAAACGTCTCTAGACCGACAGAACAAAAATATTGTTTAATTATTTTTTTACACCGATGTAGCCAGTATTTCTATGGACATTAATTATTTCCTGGGATTCCAAACATCAAACGCAGGAAATACCAGACAAAGAAATTCCTTTGGGAAATATTTTTTTACAAAGTCATTGAAGGTTTCAGAATTTTAATTCCTGTATAAATAGTGTGTGTTTCATTTAGCTGAGTATAAATTTCAATGCTGCATTGTAATGGAAACAATATTTAAATATTTAACAACCACTACTTAACCGATACATGTATGTTTCGTATTGTGTTAATTTTTTCCAGAATTATATGCATGTTTCAACAAATGTAGTTATAAATGTCAAATTTTCATTACGATTTCCAATAACCGGAAGTGGAACTTTTTCTACTTTCAATTTTTTAAAAGCCTATAACTTGAGTACTATTTCAGATAGATAAATGAAGTTTAACATGAAAGTAAAAGATCTAATTCTTTGCATTCTTTCAAATTTTGTCCAGAAGAAGTAATTTTCACTATTTCCGATTTCTCAAAAAAAAACGCATGTAAATTTATAAAGTACTAATAATATTCCGCAATATTATACACATTTTGTTTTGCGTTCACTTGGTGTGCAATTCTTGTTTCTACGAGATTCTATTCTATTTTAAAAAGTTTAAATAATTAAAAATGGATTAAAAATCATGTCTATATCCCGAGTTGCCATCCCTTTTGTTTTATATAAGAATATTCGAGAACGTTTAGGGGAGATCACTCGCTGTTTATATTTTTAATTGGAAAACGAAAAAAAAAATTAATGGCTGTTTATTTCAATCATAAATTTAACATTATAACTAAAATTAAACTTGCATTGTCGTTAGGTTGGAGTTGAGGCGAGAGACGAGGTGGTGTAGAAGAGTAAACAGCTGTCGCAGTAAAGGATAATTAGTGTTGGAGTATTGGGGTGTTGGGGTGTTGGAGGTGTTGGAGTGTTGGGGTGTTGGGGGTGTTGGAGGTGTTGGGGTATTGGGGTGTTGGAGGTGACCGTGTCTGGAGAAGATTTTAGCAAACGAAACTTTGTCGCCATTACAATTATAAATGCCTCATCGAATGCAAATGTCAAGTTTTAATTAAATGTATTATACACTATACAAAATCACACACGTTCACGAATTTTTCCCGTACCAAATGAGCAGTCAGTTCAGTAAGCTGTTGGTAGTCTATATTATAATTTAAATTAAGCTAATTTGTCGACTGGAATTTACTAAGATGTTAAAAAAATTGTGTCTAATGTTTTTAGTGAATTAAACTAGATCTAACTAGAAAACTTAGCATGATATATTTTCTTTAGTCTGGAAGGTAAAATCCCATTAAAAAGGAAACACTTGACACGTTCAGAAACACTGTACTCAAAACGTAGGAGTGGGTTGAGAAGAATGGAATGTTACGTCGTTTGATGAAGATTGTGTGAATCAGACTAATTAATTAGGGTTGGTAAAAATAGAAATCTGTAAAAGAAGAAACCTTGACGTCATGAGGACGTCTTACGTTTTAGCCAACTGATAGAAAACGTATAGAAGCATGAACGATTCGTCTAAATCAGAATCCTTGTCCCTACATTTCAATGACTTAAACAGCCCCCCTCCCCCCTCTGTAAATAGATTATAGCGTTAGTTTGAAGGCTGAACAAAGAAAATCTAGTTTGATCAAGTTTATCTCCTCTAG